CCGTCTGTCTGTCTGTCTGTCTCTCTCTCCTCCCACTATATTTTACCTAAATTGAGGAAACCCTCTCAAGTAGATTGAAAAATGTCCTTTACTTAAGGTAATTAGTTGACTGACATTAGACAAAGAGTTTGTAAAACATGTTCCTTGCCTCCTTGAACTTACAAGTTACGATGTATTTATTATACCCTCAAATAATTGTAATAAAATCAATATATAATAAGAGCACAAAAAGCTAGAAACAAACTGCCACGTGAAGTATAAGAAGAGGGCAGAGGAAAGAAGGTGATAATTGCCTGAGGGATGGGGGGAGGGTATCAAAAAGGCTTTCTGGGTGGAAAAAAGTAACATTTGAATTGGTCTTTAAAGGGTGGATAAAAATTCAAAAGGTAGGGACATGAAATTCTACACTTTGGCAAAAGTGTAAACAAAGATATAAGGGGGGGAGGGAAATCACTTTTTAAAAAACTTTTTAATCTATTTAGAAATTTGAATTTTCAAATTTATTGCAAATGACCACGTCAAATTAGAATCATGTTCCTTTGACGCTGGCAGTTAAACATTTGTCTTGAGAGAAAATCAATATTAGGAATTAGAAATACTTCAATGGATTGAGATCTCATAAATATGAGTATTTTCTCCACTGATGTAAACCACACACCACCCACATTCCCTCATTGGTGGGATGCTTATCCATTGTCTCTTATAGAATGCCCATAGATACCTAATGAACTGGTTTTCTGCTAGGTCTTTCTTGCATTCTATTATTACCAGTGCTGCCTTTAATCTATGTATCTATGATCTCCTATCTTCTGGCATAAGAATGCTCCACCTCATCAGTCAGTCAACAAATATTTCAGCACTTACTATGTGCCAGATACTGTGCTACAGATTGAGGATTCAAAGAAGGATAAAAACAGAGTCCTCAAACTTAAGTTTACATCCTAAAGGAGGAGACAATATTTAAACAACAGGGTAGATACAAATTTTTACACAACAGAGAGAAAGGAAAAAATGGGAGGGAAAAATGCATTAGCAAATGGGAGGACTGTGAAAGACCTCCAGGAGTAGAGAGTTTTGAAATGAATCTTGAAGGATGTCAAGGAAACTAAGAGGTAAAGAGGAGAGAGTTGATGAAAGAGTAGAGGTGAGGGAGTAGTTAGTTATACTGTCCCTTTTACCACTTCATGCCCTTAGGTCATCATTAGAAATATGGAGAGGGGACCTATGCCCAAAGGGCTATAAAACTATACATACCCTTTGACCCGGCAATACCACTTCTATATCTGTATCTCAAAAAGATCATAAAAATGAGAAAGGACCCACATGTACAAAAATATTTATAGCAGCTCTTTTTGTAGTAGCTAAGAATTGGAAATTGAAGAGATGCCTATCAACTGGGGAATGGCTGAACAAGTTGTGAATGTAATGGAATATTACTGTGCTATAAGAAATGATGAGCAGAGTCAGCTAGGTGGTGAAGTGGATGGAGCACTGGCCCTGGAGTCAGGAGGACCTGAGTTCAAATCCAGCCTCAGACACTTGACACTTACTAGCTGTGTGACTCTAGGCAAATCACTTAACCCCACTGCCTAGCCCCTGCCCCAAAAAAGCAGTTAGACTTCAGAAAAACCTGGAAAGACTTATGTGAACTGATGCTGAGTGAAATGAGCAGAACTAGAAGAACATTGTACACAATGACAGTCACATTGTAGGACGACTAACTTCCATAGACTTACTTGGCTCTTCTCAGCAATGCAAAGATCTAAGACAACTCCAAAAGACTCATGATGGAAAATGCTGTCCACATCCAGAGAAAGAACTATGGAGTCTGAATGCATATCAAAGAATACTATTTTCTCTTTTTTTGTTGTTTTTTGTGTCTCATAGTTTTCCCCTTTTGTTCTGATTCTACTTTCACAATATGACTAATGTGGAAATATATTTAAAATGATTGTACATGTATACCCCATATCAGATTGCATGCTGTCTTGGGGAGGGGGGCGGGTAAGGAAGGGTGAAAATTTAGAACTCAAAATCTTATAAAAGTGAATATTGAAAACTAAAAATAAATAAATAAATGTTTTAAAAGATAAAAAATAATGGGATCATCTAAAGAACCTCAGCATATAAAAGGAACCTGTCTTCCATCTGAATCCAGTGCAAGATGCTAGGATATCTAATAGATATAATAGATAATAAGAGGGTCTGACTACATCACACGCATACACACACACACACACACACACACACACAGAGTACTCCACAAACTCCAGTGATTCCCTATTAAGTTCAAATAAAATCTTGTTCGGCTTTTAAAACTCTTCACAATCCGTCCTCTTCCTACCTTTCCAGTCTTCTTACCCTTCACTGCCCTCCACATACTCTACAATTCAGCAACCTTCTTGCAATTTCTTCATTGGTTAAAATAGGAAAAATAATAGCACCACCCTCTCAAGGTTGTTGTGGGGATCAAATGAAATAATAATTGTAGGGGCAGCTACGTGGCGCAGTGGATAGAGCACTGGCCCTGAAGTCAGGAGGACCTGAGTTCAAATTCAACCTTAGACCAAACACTTGACAGTATTAGCTGTGTGACCTTGGGCAAGTCACTTAACCCCAAATGCCTCACTAAAAAAAATAAATAAAATTTAAAAAAAAATAATTGTAAAGCTCTTAGTACATTTCTTAGCATATAGTATATAAATGTTAACTGTTACTGTAATTTATTATTATTCATTACACACAGCACTCCATCTCCTTACTCCATACCTTTTCACCGGCTTTTCTGACATTTCTCTTCACATCTGCCTCCTAGCTTCCCTGAAGGCTCAGCTCAAATTCCTTCAAGGAGACCTTGATTGGCCCCCATCACCACTAGGCTAGTGTCTTTTCTCTGTGACTACTTTCCATTTACACTGCATATATCTTATAAGTATAACTTTTTGTATGTTGTCTACCCCCATTAGAATTCAAGCTCGTTGAGGGTAGAGACCATGTTTTTGCCCTTTTTTTGTATCCCTAGTATTTATCACAATGCACATGGTAAGAGCTTAATAAAATATCTTTCAACTGGTTAAGATGATTTCTGGACTACTATGGCTTCTTCATTGTACATATTGTTCAGAGGCTTATAGAAAGTGGTGATAATCAAAATGACTACCATTGTCATCCTTCATCTCCCATTTTTTACGACTCATTTGAAGAGTTTAGATTGAAGCTATTACAATTTGTATACCATTTCTCCTTATCTTTTTTTAATTTGATCTTGACCCTTGCTCTAATTAATCAGCTGATTCATAAATGACACCCATCTTAGTAACTAACAATTTTTTTCTGACTGCTGAGATAGTCACTTTCACTTCTTGTGATATTATTTAGTGCTGTGTCCAGTGATTTCCAATTCAATTTTGGAAGAAAACTTCTTTAATATCTATGCATGAAACTTTTGAGTAGTCTACATGCCTATGACTTCTTTTATTTCTCAAATCTAAGCCATATTTTCCACCTAATGGCCTGCATACTAGTCATTAATCTGTGTATTAGATTGGTCCTTGGACAGCATTCTAGAACATTCTAGAAGCCTTTCCAGCATGACAGTAGCTATCAGAACTTAAGTTGCACTAGAATAATCTTTGATAACCCAGGGCACCATAAGGAATCAGAGTAAGACCCTGTAGAGGATTGTGATGAAAAGTGAGTTCCACAAAATATAACTACTAAATGTTGAAGTTCTTAACCAGGTTAGTATATTGGACTCCTATATTTTGGATGGAGCAAATTTGACTTTCATTATATTAAAAGTATTGCTATTACAATGGAAATCAGTTTCTTCTTTAAATCTCATGATATCCTAATTCAGAACTTATGGATGATTGAAAGTACAATTAACAGGTTAACTTCTATTACACTTCATAGATGCCAAGGGTCATTTTCAATATATTCCATACAAAGCATACTTAATTATGTTTGAATGATCATTCACATTTATATTGCGTTTACAAAGGTTCACAAGGTACTTTTCACAACTCAATGTGATAGGCAGTGTAAAAATAGAAAAACTGACTCTTTAAGAGGTTAAGCCATTTACCCATGACCATACAGTAACTGGGGGAAATGGGATTCAAAACCAGCTCTTAAAATGTCAAAACCTGCACTTTACCTCAGTAGTTTTTCAAAGAAAATTGGGCTACATTCGGGGGTAACTTCTACCTCTTAATACCCCGAACAGACGTATGAAAGGTAGCAGTCTCAAATCGTTACTAACACACTACAGTACTCTCAAACTTCTATTTCATAGTTGGCCATTCCCACACCAATGCCGCCTTTGCCAAGAGCCACCCAGCTGCCCATCACCGCGCAACCTAACACGGTTTTTAAAAATTCTGTGCCAGAGTTGTGGTCAAGATGTTATTTACGGGGGTGGGATAAGGATAACCCTGCCAGAGAGAAGCAGATCCAGTTCAAATAGAGCTGGACTAGATTCTGGGATCTAGGGGGCTCCTTAACTAGGGGTCCGGGAACAGATGTCGGGGGTCCGGGAACTTAGATGGGGAAAATAAAATTACACTTTTACTTCCACATAAGTGGTTTCCTTTGTAATCTGTGCGTTTTATTTATGCATTTAAAACTTTATTCTGGGGAAGGAGGGGTCTATAGGCTTCATCAGCCTACTCATGGGGTCCCTGACACACAAGTTTAAGGGCCTCTGCCCTTTCAGGTGCTTTCACCTCCCGACCCCAAGAACCCCAGGCTCTCTTTCCTTTCTGCCCCGCTCCGAGGCTCTTCCATCCCATCCCAGCACACTGCCCCCGCCGCCCCTGGGGCCAGGGACACCGAGGCCGTCGCAGCCTGTCCCATTTGCCCGAGGGAGCACTAGCGACCGGCTCGGAGGAAGCTTTTCCCAAAGGGGCGCCCCGAACTTTAAAGAATGGGAAGGAACCCACCCGCCCCACCCCCACATCGCTCGCCCAGGGGATCCGAAAAGCTGAGAGCCCTTTCTCCGCCTTCTGGCCGGACGGAAATGACGACAGCCGAGGGGGGGGGAGGGAAGAGTGGCTGCTGCAACAGGGGGGAAAGGCGGGAGGGGAAGGAGAGGAGAGCGTCTGGGGGCGGGGCGGAGCGGTGGCCCGGTTTCCGGCGGGTTGTCGCGCTCTCTCTCTCCGGCCGCGGCTGCTCTAGCCCACAGCCGCTTCCTCCATCCTGGTATTTTTCGGAGCCTCCATCCTGGTTCTTCCAAAGTGCCCGGACCCAAAACAGGAAGTAAGTGCGATGGAACCTTCAGCTCCCAACCGCCGCCGGGGCCTTTCCGCTCCGCCCCGCGCTGCGCAGCTCAGTCCGCCCGGCCCCCTGGCCGCCTGCCCCTGCCCCCTTCCCCTGCCCTCAGCCCTCCGGGGCCCCTGGACCAGCGGCCTGGGGGAGGGGTGAGGAGGGGGGTGCCGAGGGCGAGGGCGGGGGGAGCCGCGAGCCGGGCAGGCTGGAGGAGGCTCCCCTCCACCCACCCTGCTCCTCCCCTCCCCTCCACACCCCTCCCCTCTCCTCGCCGGCCTGGGCCAGTTCCTCCCTCTCGAGCTGGGGCCGCGGGGATGGGAAGCGGGCGGCCTCAGAGGCGGAGGAGCAGCTGCGTTACTGACGGAGGCGGAAAATGGCGGCGGCTCGCTTCGATGGAGTCCAAATGGCGCTGGGACCCCTGGGGGGGGCAGGGGAGGGTCTGGGGGTTGGGGTGATGGCATTCTCTAGGTTCGCTTTAGCGACGCGTTTTGTAAAAGGGAGTGAGTTGGGGGCGGGGGATGCTGTCTCCCCCCACCCCGTTTTCATCTTGCTCCATGCCCCCCTCCCGCTTTTCCCATCCGAGGCGGGCCTCGAGGCCGCCGGTGTCCGTTTAACTGGTGTCGCCCCCCACTCTCCGGGGCAGTTTTGGCCACCGCGGCCTCCATGGAGCTGTCCGCCCGGGCCCCTGGCTGCAGAGCCAGAGGGCGGGGGGAGGAGGCCGGGCCCTCGTTAGTTCATACTTGGCTGGGGGTTTGGGGTCCTCTCTCCCCCTTTCCTCTGATCCCTGTCGGGTCCCCAGCTGTTCTCTGAAGTGCGAGCCGCTGCCGTCTTGGAGTTCAGCGCCTCGGGAGAGTCGGGACGTTTGATCCCCGTTTAATGGGAAACGAGGGTAGAAAGGTCCCCCTCCCTGCTCTGGTCATCCAAACATTTGCTGCTGTTCTCCTCCCCCCCCGCCCTCCGGTTTGTTGCTGAGATTAGAGGAGAAGGCTGGAAAGGATGTGAAGTCCGGACTCCTGTTGTGTTGAAAAATGAATGAGCTGTTCTCCTTTCTGACTTTTTTTTTTTAAAACTTCATTTCTGAGAATTGAAGATGCCACTTGTTGTACTTGTTAATATAGTTAATTAAAAATCAGAATGCATTCTTTTATGAAGGAGCTGTTTATAGTCCGTTAAAATAAAAATACATTCTTTCACGAAGGAGCAATTTAGTTGTAGTATGGGGTATCTATGTTGTTTTCATTTGGGGCAAATAAAAATCTGTATTAGGGTTTCCTCTTTCTGAGGATGGCAGGCCGTGCCAAAGTGGAAAGAGCACTGGATGGATCTGGAATCGGAAAGCTTGGTTTGGATTTGGATCCTTGAGTCTGCTGCTTACTAGACCCGGTATCGGCCTTGTCACGGTTCTTAACCTCTGGGGCCTCAGTGTTCTCTCTCTCCTCTGTAAAATGGAGGAGTTGGACCAAATGACCTGTAAGGCTCTTCCAGCTCCAAGTCTAATCTAAGATAGTTATCCAGAACATCCGCACATTCAGTAAAAGGTGTTGCTGTGTTTGAATGCTTAACTAATATAGAACATCTTTTTGATGTCATTGAAATCATCATCAGGTAATGGGGAAATTGATTTGTGTTTTTATTTCAACTCAAATTCTAACCTACTCAACGTAAAAAGGGCAGTTTTTACCAATTAGAAATGTTGACCTTGTTTAAAGTAATTAAAATAAATTACCACCTATGGTTTGGGTTTTTTTTTTTAATTTAACGATGCTGTTTATGTTTTGTAAATTGACTAACCACAGTCAATGTACTATACTTTGCACAGAATAACTCAGTCACTATCCATGGTGCCAATATTTTAACTTTTGCTATCTTTGAAAGGATATATACATGTATATATCTATATGCATATGTAGCTACATAAAATATATATACATATAAATCTTTCTGGTTGAGGTAGTTTTTTGTTTGTTGTTTAGTTGTTTGAGTTGTGTCTGACTTTCCATGAAACCACTTCGGGTTTTTCTTGGCAAAGGTATTGGAGTGGTTTACCATTTCCATCTCCAGCTCATTTTACAGATGGGGAAACTGAGGCAAACAGGGTTGAGTGACTTGCCCAGGGTCACTTACCCAGCTAGTAATTGTCTGAGGCAGGATTTGAACTCTGGACTTACAGACTCCAGGCCTGGGGTTCTAGCCACTGTACCACCTAGCTGCCCTGAGCTAGTTTGGCAAACTTTAAATTCAGTGTTTTGTTAACTTGGTATCATTTCACTATTAAAATATCTTCACTGGCTCCCTATAAGCTTCCAACTAAAGTTCAAACTCCTTAACTTTTCTTGACTTTCAGAGCCCTCAGTAATCTGGTACAATCTTGCTGTTTATTTCATGTTACTTTCCATATACTCCACCTAGTGCCCCACCTAAACTGGATTGTTGTCCTCATTCTGCTCATCTCTGCCCCAAGATTCTCTTCATTGCTTCTCAGCCTGACTGTGCTTTTAGGCCCTTTGTCTTCCTCTTTGTTGAACTCCTCTAATTCACCTTTAAAAGTCCTGCTCATCTAACACTTCTCTGTGAAGCCTTCCCAGATTTGCTTTCCTACCCCTCAAAAGGAATAACATTTGTATAGGTAAAAAGTATATTCTATAGATTGTATTTGAGCTTCACATCTCCTTCATGTTAGTACTGCAGTTGTTAGCCACATTTTACAGATGAGGAAACCAAAGCTCAGAAATACGAGGTGACTTGCTCGTAGTGTGACAACTGTAATATAAATATCAGAGGTGGGATTCCAGCCCATCCCTTCCTGATACCACTTCCTGTGTTGGAGCTTGGACTTTTTTCAGTTGTCTCTCCTGTTGGGTTGTAGCAAATCAAGGTTTCTGGGTTTACCGAATAGCTCCTCAACTTTAAGTTCAGAAGCTGATGAAGTCTGTGCATCTTTAAATCAAAAAAACTAAAATTAGAAGATTCTTTTTCTATACACTAATTCTGAATTTTCACATAAATAATTTAAAGTGATATTTTTCAGACAATACAAACAACCTTGTTCTTAAAATGACTGAGGATGCTTTTGGTAAAAAGTGGGAAATAAAAATCATACTCCAAAATATTCCTCAGGTGATTTTCAAACTCTGACAATTCAAAATTCCAGTGGTCATTAAAACTGTAAGACTATTTCTATACAGCAGGTCACAAAAGCACTCCATTATGGGTATCTGAAACTAGTTGGCTTGCTTCCAGCCCTTTTAATACTAAATATTTTAATAAGATTTGGTTGAGAAACACAGGTAAAAAATTAGCATTTTCTTCTTTATTCCAAAGAAAATATCTTTGACAGTGTCCGAAAATATCACAGGTAAATACTGGGTGTATAACATGGTATTTCATCTTTTGGATTTCTTTAGTCTAATTACATTGAGCCAGCAATTTATAAAAACAGAAATGCTTACTGTTTTAGAATACTGGTCTTCAAATTCTAAGGATTGTACTTGTGCTTGTGACTATTTACATGGTTACATTGGTCTAGAGTCCTAATATAGACACATTTGTGAAAAATGATTCTATTCAGTAATCATTGAAAATGTGTTAAGTACTATACATTTGAAAAGGAAATGGAATCCTGCCTTTTGAAATCGTATCCTAATAACCATGTGATTAAAACAGGATTTTTCTGGGTGCTTTTTTTTGTTTCGTCATTTTTCAGTCGTGTCTGACTCTCTATGACCCCATTTGGTGTTTTCTTGGCAAAAATACTGGAGTATGTAGCCCACCTAGCTGCTGGGTGCTTTAGGGTGGGAGTTTTATTTTTGAAGTATAATCCTTCTAAGAAAATAGGTGGGCATGGTGCATAGAGTAAGGAACTGGGCACAGGAATACCTGTGTTTCTTTCTCACCTTTGGTACTACTTAGTAGCCTAGTGACCATTATCAAGTCACTTCTCTGATCCTCAGTTTTCTCATCTATAAAATGAGGATAGTATCTGAAGAGGGCAGCTAGGTCGTAAAGTGGATAGAGTACAGGCCCTGGAGTGAGGAAGATCTGAATTCAAATCCTACATCAGATACTTACTAGCAGTGTGACCTGAGCAAGTCATTTAACCCTGTTTGCCTTAGTTCCTTATCTGCCAGATGAACTGGAGAAGGAAATGACAAACCACTCCAGCATATTTGCCAAGAAAATCCCTCATGGAGTCATAGAGAGTAGATACCACTGAAAGTACTCAAAAACAGCTGAAGTATATACCTCAAAGCATTGTTGTGAGGATCAGATAACTATGTAAAGTTTTTGTAAACCTTAAAAATCTTTTATAACTGTCAGCTAATAGTGTCTTATGGGAGAGAATAGACTCTACTATCTAACATTTTCGTAGCAATTTGTTTTCCAGAGCACTTTTGAGCACTTGATCTCATTTGACCCTCAAAACTATCTTGTGAGTTGGGCAGATGCAGGGTTTGTCTCCAGTTTGCAAATAAGAAACTGAATTTTTGTGAAATTAAGTGATTTGCCGAGGGTCATCTGGCTAGTGATATCGCTTGGGCTAGGACCTAAGTGTTTTCTCCTAATCCAGTGAATTTCTGCTTTAAAAGAAGAGTTGACAGAAAATATATTAAAATATTTGTGCATTTTTAAAAAAGCACAGATATATTCAGTAGGCTTTCAAAAATCTTTTAATGGAGAAAATTCCCAAGGGTCTTGAAGATAAATTAGATACTTAATAATCACTAATTGCTTTGGATTGGAGGAGTAAGAACTGAGAAGTTTTGTTTTGGGTTGAGGTTTTTTGTTTTAGTTTGGTTTGGGGTGTTTTTTTTTTTTAAAGGTAGACTAATTTTGAAATAGTTAATAAAAGGCAATATCTATTTACTATTTTTGTTGCTTTTTCTTTTTTCAGCCTTAGAAAGGTGATCATACCACAATTGAATGAAACATTAAAAAATCTGACCAAACTAAAGTTACTCCGTTACTGAATTGTTTAACATCCTTTTGTAACG